CTATAGTTTAATATTTGCGTGTGTATACTCGGGGGAATATACTTACTCCTTGTCCGCGATTTGTACACCACGACAGGCGGGCAATGAGCCGAGAAGACAGTTGACGATATCATAGCCACAATAGGACAAAATATAAAAAAAAAATAATAATATAATATATTATATTGGTGTTTTTTTTTCGTACTACAATATTATTTTTTATCGAACGCACGTCTTGTCAAATCTACAGCGTTCGAATAATATTAGGTATTCTCCGAGTATATAAAATCGTTTACACAAGCGGATATCGTGTATAAAAATATAAAATTTGGTTATTTATCATCGTGTAAATATATTATGCACTATATCTTATACATTTTTTTACTATGTGCCGATTACATATTGTGTAGTCTACACAAAGTTTAAACTTTAGTTTATAGTATTTTTAAAATGATTATGTACGGTTGAAAAGAAAAACCCGGATTCGTAATAATCATGTTTATGCAAAGAACGATTCGGTTTTTTTTTCCATGACGGGTTCAGTGGGGTACCTGTATTACTCGCATACTTTAAGAATATTATGTTTCGAGCATGTGAATTTCGAGTTGACCGAACTTGACGATAACAATTCGAACAATTATGATATTATTATATTGTTCATAAATGGTAATAATATTATGTACACATTGCAGAATACTTGACCATGATGTATAATGAACATTGTACATATTATAATACTTTGATATAACGGACAATTCGCCAAGTATAATTTATAATAATATACGTATAACAGTAGGTATTACTGTATTAATTATTGTGGTCACGAAAATATGTTATAGGAAAACCGGTATTCAAATTACCTAGTGTACGTTGCAGAGTAATAGATTATAATATCTACGCCGGCGTAGAATCCATCTACTCGTACTCGTACTCGCATTATGTTCGGTAAATAAAATAGATATAACATATAACTAACAAACGCGATTCTATATTGGTATTACGATATAACTGTAATGTATAGTGAAAATATATAATATACGTCGCCGATTCGTCTAATACAAATCGTTATTTTTCCTTCCCTACCACCTCCCCCCAGGATAATCTGGGGAAAACGAATAGAACTCTGAAAAAAAAAAAGAGAAACTATTGTCGTCAATGCGAATAGATCGGCTAACTATATATACATCAATGATCTACAATTTTGCGGCGTCCTGTGGGTTATCGGTTTACGCATTGATTAGATATTTGATATTTTAACGAAACGTAATATTATATACAAGCAAGTTTAATTTGTAGTTTTCAATGCGCGTGGGTAACTTTTAACAAAAATGTTATCATTTCGTACGTGATTTTGTAGCATAACGAGAAAACTAAAAAAAAAAGACGGACATAATTCGCACAATGGGTAGGCCACTGTTATAGGTAAGAAATTGGAAATGAAGGATATCGATAAGAAATTAATTTATATCTGTACGCAACGACAAACTATAACTAACGAAAACCGATTCGGAGTAATGTTTCTTCTTACATATACGTACATTTTCCCGTTTTTTCGTCAATTATTATGAAAACCGTTTGGAAATCAAAAGATGACCTCCTTTAAGTAGCAATCAGGTAAAACTTTCTTTCAGAAAAGGTACTACACTTGAACAACGGATCTAGGTTTTTGGTAGAAAAGTTGTTCACTGATTAAAAAAAAATAATAATAATAGAATAAACATCATTACGCTCAGAGTCTGAAAAAAAAAAAATAAAAACATTTTTACAAACCCATACTATGTAACAAACTGTCGAAGTGTACAACAAATAGCCGTGACCGTTTTTCTGGAAAAGCATTTTGTACAAGCCATTTCGTCGCGTTATTCTTGATACTATATTCGAGTTTCCTTCTTTATATAATATTATTATCTCTATTTCTTTTTATAACTCTATACTCGTTGCGCGAAATGGTGTACTGGTAGTGTGTATTTCATACATGAAAGGCCTAGCGTATAATATCTCACTACCCTTATTACTATAATAATGGCTATAATGAAGACATAATTATTCGTAGTGTTTTTTTTTTTTTACTGCTATAGTGTTATTTAATATCATATTGTACACATTGAAATATCGGAATAATATAACAAATAATTTGTCATTTTTTACTTTAATCGTTATACTCTTTGAAAATGTTTACGTCAAAACAGCCACGGCAAATTTTCCCAGATCCACAACCAGGCTATTGAACTACCTATAACGCATTTTGGGGCTATTATGTACGATTAGTATTTGATCGTTAGCATCACTCTGTCAAACTTTTTGACATTGATTTGTAAAAATACACTTCCTGAATAAAAACCAAAAATTCTAATTTAAATACTAAAATATTTCGAATTACGATAAATCAAAATTAATACTAATATATTATATTTTCACTTAAGCGATTTAATTGAAAGTAGTACATTGTATAATACAGTGATTGGAAGTTCCTTATTTAAAACGAAATAAGATCACCTTCACTTCAATTAAGCGTAGATTTATCTATAAAAAAAAAGGAATGAAAAAAAAATCGTTCGTTTTTCCAAAAATGAACGAAATTACTTTACAAAATCGTTTTCGTTAAATTTCTTTCGTTCCTTTGAATTCATTATTTTCAAGCACTGATATATGTATGCCGTTAAATATTTAGTATTTAATGTCTCATTACCCGTTGTATTTGTGATTCCTTCGGTATTAAATAAATCAAATATTGAATAGGTCTTTGTCATTGCTACGTATTTGTATTGTATCGATTGTCGTTTAAGAATATTTTTGTTCCCAGTGCGATTGTTCGTTTTAATTTTCGTCGAGCAAACAAACAACTAATGTAAATAACAACATGGTAACATTAATAAAGTTATTGATAATGAATATTTTGAAAGTAATTGCCACTAACTAATATAAACAAATGTGTTTATAAAATGATAATAACCTGCAAACAGTAAGCATCTTCATTAACATTATTAATTTTTTTTTTCTTGGGGGGGGGGAAAGAGAAAATTGGTATTTTACATTTTTATCGAATAATAATCACATTTACAGTGTTGTTATTAAACTATAGTTTATTTTTTTGCCAAGTCAATAGTGCAAATTGCAAAAGTACGTTTGAAAGAATTCTGAGATTCCATACCTATTATAATTACCTATTATACGTCGATATTCCTAAAAGCGACTACATACTAAAAATCAACCCACGCGACCAACCTAAATTACAGGATTTCGATTTTACAATAATATGCGTATGTAAGACATAGGAAGGTAATATTATTTAGTAGGTATTTTTAATGGGACAAAACAATTTTTATTATTATTATTATTTAGTTTTATATTCGGCCTCGCAGCCAATCTTCCAGCTACCCTTATTTCAATATCCAATGGCAAAATCTAACAATTTCACTCATCTCCCAAAACTTCAACATCTGTGGTAGTAACATGGATATTACTACATCTTTCATGACCAGCCTTCCAAAAGGTATTTTAGATTTCGAGCATAGCGTGGAAGCTATTGATTTTACTAAGATATTTATTTCTTTTTTTTTTCTTTGTTCTAGTCTGTGGACACGTTTTTTCCAAGTAAACTTGATCCGATTTTACGTGTAGAATTTTTTCTGAAAGCTCAAGTTGTTTGAATTGTCATTTTTTTGATTTTCGACGCCATTTTTTCAATAAGTGGAAAAAAACGTAGAAAAACGTACAATTTCACGATTTCATTATTTTATAAAACACGGACGACATTTATACGAATAAATAATTTAATTGAAAAATCACAAGGTACCTTTTTTGTTACTTTTTTTATATACTTTCTTAAGGTATCATCACCAAAACTTTTGAGCTTTTAAGGAATTTTAATTTTTGGTAGTTTTTTTACTGTAATTCGGTTATAAATACATTTAAAAACTTAAAACTTTGTAATAATACTTCTATTGGATTTACCTAGACGTAGTAAAATTTCTGAAATCATCGGATGATTTTTTTATTTTTAATAAACGTTTTGAAATCAAATTTAAACGAAAGTCGCAAAAATTATGTATAATCGAACTGCGCTTGGAATCGTCTATCGTCAAACAATGGTTTATCGTTGCTTAAGGATATAAATGAAATAACCTTATGTATCTTACCTTCCTAAATTCTCACCTACAATAGTGGCCACTCTTATCCCCAGTATCAGCTCTTTTTTCTATTGGATTCTGTTCTTGTAGCACTATCTGCGTATAGTATAATGGGTTATGGCTTGCTTTGCAGCTCGTCACAGTATTTTTTTTTCGACGATTCCCAAACTATTATTTCCTTGAAATTACTTTCTGATTATAGCGTTATCACATCCATTATCGGTTCAAAGATTTTCCGTGATATTATTCTTTCTAGTACCGAATATTTAATTTTTGTCCGTTTTCCAAGAGTCAAGTTCCAGATCCGCGTTTAGAGTATGTATACAACTATTTTTTTCATTTCTCTGGAAGAAGAGAGAACATATTAGTATTTGTGTATAGTAACACTGTATTTTTGCTATAGGTCATACTTATATACCTAAGGTAGACATCAGAAGAAAAAGAAAACGAAATTGTGAATGTCAATTAACAATTTGTCATTTTTATTATTACTTTTTTTTCTAGCTTCGCATGAAAATCGGTAAGGTATACGCGTTAATTTATTGTCCAGGGAAAACGGTAAATCGATGTGTATACACTATATAGGCGGAAATCTCTATTAATAATAAAATTAATGTCATGATATATATATATAATATACTGATGGCGATTGATTTTTTTTTTTTTGTTTAGTTTTAATTATCGCGCGCGAACATAATGGAAATCGAACACGGGTAAGCGCTCGCGGAAAAGTAAAAGCGAGTAACGCACCGTAGTAAATCGATCGGAATTGTTTTTTCGATTCTATAGACACCAGTCGCGTCTAATTATTATTATTATTATTATTTCGTTGTCAATGATGTTGTACCTACATTGTTATTATTATCATTATATACGTATACTGTTTCAGTATATTGCACAGGTATACTATTGCCCGATTTATTGCGGATAGATGGCGGCGAAAAAAAAACGGGTATAAATGAAATTAACGTACGAAAAAAAAAAACCCCGAAAAAGTCATAGTCATAGTTCGATCGGTCAAGTCGGCACGGCTGCACAATGCCCACGATAAAATTACCTATGAAAAACGGCTATATATATAAATATACATATTATGCGGAACAAGTAAAATCGTCAAATCTCGCGGTTTATTTATTTCTATATTTCGTTTTTCTGTATATCTCCCTCTGATCTGTTTCACTTTCGTTTATTTAAAAAAAAAACTTACCTTCTATAGATTTAATATTATATTATTTTAATTCGGCAGAACGATGAGGCGAGGAATTTATTGGTTTTATACTATGATGATGTGTGTGTAATTTTGTTTGCGTGAAAACAACTTTTCTACCAAAAACTCATTATTGCTATCATCAACTTTAGATGTGATGTCTGATAGCGGGCATTGTCTAATCAATGCATTGGCCGTTGGGATGGTTTCTGTTATCTATTTTCGGTTTTGATTTTTTTATTTTTTCGGAATTAAAAATAATCATTTTGACATGAAATGTTCATTGAATACAAATGTATATATACACTGATTATAGTTCTTTCCGAACGTGGTCAAACTTTCAAAACATTCTGAAGACTTTTGAGTTATTTGTAGCCTTTTGTAATTGTTGAATTGTTTTTTAGTATTTATTTAGACATATGTAGATTAAATTGTTTTGGCACAATAAAAATGCTCGAAAATTTAACAATATGTTCAATATAAATTATCATCATTGTACTTAATGGTAAACTTATTTTGTATTTGCTAACGATTAATCAACCGGAAATCGTGGTACAATCAAAATAACCTTTATCAGAACTTCGCTCAGAATCGTCTTTGTTAGAAATTGTATATCGTTACGCATACAGTAAATAACTTTACAAATCCCACATTCCTAATTTTTTGTCTACGAAAATGGTACACCCTGACACCCAAACCCATCATCATCATCATTATCGCTAGTAGTTTCAGCTTTTCGAATTAATTCAATTAGTTAACATGAACTTCAGTATACCTATATTATGTAGACGAATGAATAATATGAATTTCGAAGCAGGAAAAAAAGTGTAGTTACATTTGATTATTACTCGTATTATTATTATATGTGTGGTTTTTTTTTTTACTTTCACGGTTTTCATTCTTCGTGCACATTATTGTAACATATTATTATTATTAGTGTATAGGTTATAGAATGTATTGTGTGTGTATAATATATTGCACATACATATACACTTCGCAATGTAGTGTGTTTACTCGTTGTCAGAGTCGGTTACGGTTTATTTTTGTTCGAAAACCCGTTCGATTAATAATAATAATAAAAAAAAAAAACTAAATAAATAAATAATAATAAAATTACTAATTTTCCTATTCTTCGATATTCCTCCTATACGTATATATGCATTTTCGAGAATGAAAATATAATGGAATATTACATTTTTTTTTTTCTTTCCATGTATAAATATATATCATTGTGTACGTTTTGAAGTAGGTTACGCGCGCGTTCTTCGATGGCCGGAAACATTTATGATTTCATGATTGTTGTGATGTTACCTTTCTATTTTCTCTTCGGTTAATATGGCGTTAACTTGATAATAATAACATATATATATACACCACTATAGAGGTAGCAGCTGCGGGTATATATGGGAAATGTGCAAATGCATGCCTATAGTTACCTACATAATAATAATATATAATATTGTTGTGTTCGGGTACTACTCGCCCGAAGTGGGCTTCAGGTCACGGAAAAAAGAAAACAAGAAAACAACATTAAACCAATGTCATCGTAATAAGCATATATATCGTTACAAAATACGCAAACAAAGTTGTAAATTATAATTATATTATAAAAATAATGACGAACATTATTCCTATGGATATAACCGTTAAAAAATGCGTATTATACACGAGTTAAATGAAACATTTTTTGAAAAATAATATTATATATTGAAACGTATATGACGTATAATACAAATTACGAAATAAATTAGTGTTATATTACAGGTATTAAATATTTATTATATTTATCAAAAACTTTACATTTGCAATTAAATTCTGTAATATTTTAAATGAAATTTGCTTGTTGCTTTATTTTTTATTATAATTAAAACTCACTGGAACGATGCATATAAATTACACGTACAAATACATACAGTAATTATTACAATATTTTCTGAATTTTTTCCGATTTATTTCTTACGTTAAACAGTTAGAAACTGTATTGTACATAATTTTAAACGATTAGTCAATGCATTTGCTGAAAAAGCGTTTCACATATAACTCCACTATATGCACTATAATGTCATAGGGAACCGCAGATTCATTCATTATCTATATGTATAAAAAGGATATAGGTATAGCCATAGATGATATTAAATTCGACGATAGATTAAGTCCAATTTCGAAATTATTCACGGAATTTTCATTTGAAAGTGAATATTGTATCGATCTTATACACTATTCAGTTCTGTTTGTGGTTTTTTTACGTACCTACGATTTATGCAATATTTTTTTAATAGTATTTTTATATTCCAATTTTTCCGGACTAGATTTAATTGTTTATTTACACAAACCATTGTTAAAAATAAAGGTACTTGATTATTCAAATCTATAAACGTGTGCAATAATATTGTGTTATAATAATATTGTTGTAATATAAATATCAATTTTAAAAGTCTTCAAGAGTCATCGCTTTTTCATAGGGGGCTTCAGCTTTTGATTACCTAACAATGAAAACAGTAAATTAAGTTCTTACTGTACTGTTGATAAGGTCACACATTCAATTAAACAAATTATTATCGTTTGATATTTCGAGAGGAATTTGAGTCTGGAACTCACCCCCCTCCCCATAGTTACCGTACTGGACTGTGTAATTGGTTTATAAGAGCTTTTTTTTTACCCAAATTCTAGACTCGTTAAAAGTGTTACAAGTGACTTTAAAATTAAAAAAATAATATATATAATATTATAGAAGAAAACTTTATTGAAATGTATACGGTAATAAATATAAATGTTAGGTTTGTGAATCGAGTTATAAGAAAAACTTTTTCTATTAATCGTTATTTTATGAATATACGGTATGGTCATAAATAATGTGTTTAAGATATAACCAAAAACAAGTTATATATCAAACAAAATACATGAGAACATAATATTATTTAAAAAAAAAAACCAAAAATTGTTTTTGATTAATACTCAACAAAATAACAAATATGAACAAATAAATTATATATATGTATAAATAACTAGCTAACCCAGCAATGCCTTACTATTGCTAAATAATAGTGTAAATTATATTAATAATAATAAAAATTAAACAATAATTATATTTTTCTTGTCAGTGAAAACCAAATTGTCTTCCATTTCAAGAAGGTAACCTATGAATAAACAATGATAAATAAACAAACAATTAGATATTCGTACCGAAAATACCTAAAAATCGAATTATCGCAATTTTCGTAGAATCTCTAATTGGGTTGAATATAAAATACAGTCCATGTTACTCGCTGATAATGTAGCTTTTTGTAGTTGAAAGAAGTTTTAAAATCGGTTTAGTAGTTTTTGAGCTTGTCCATTACAAACATAAAATACAAACAAATCTTTTCTCTTTATAATAATATATAGTAATCTTCTTTACAGAACAAATGCAATTAAAATTAAATTAAAATAATATAGAGGACAAGATTACCTGGGTGTTTGAAAGTGTCTAGTCGAAAAAATTGTCAAACATGGAAATCATTTTCAGTTTTCACCTTTAAACGTACAGTGAAATGGAATCGTTTGGAAATAAATTATGTATGTATAGTACAATATGTATAGTAAAGTATAATAAAGTGATGTATAAAAAGAAAACCATTTTTCTCCATTATTGGCGAATATTATTTTTATATTTTTTCCACGACATACAATTGAGAATCATTTCTAAATACTTATACCGTAATATAATATACGTGAACTAAATTTCGAATGTATTAAAATCATTGCAGAATTTTAAATTAATTATTTTTCTAGTTATAACTGTAATTATATTTATTATTTTTTATTTTGAAATAGTATTATACATTTATGTATGCTGTACTACATTTTTTTTTTTTATCATGCCTATAATAAAGTTAAATTGCTCTAACCAAACATAATTTTGGCATTTTTTTAATTGAATCATGATTTATTGTAGAAAATAGAATTTGTATAAATTAAAATTAATGAAATAGGTAACGTCACGGCGCGTCGTAAAATTCGCCCGTTTTTTCTTTAGATACGTTTTTTTTCGGAGTTTTTGTTTGGATAGGTCAAAACCAACTCAAAATTGTTTTTGTCATCACTTCATAGTAAAACCAATATGCTCAGAATTTGAAACATCTCTATTCCTTACTATATTCCTAATATTCTATTCCATTATCTAAATCGGTTTTATTTTTGTTTATTTTGGGTCATCTTGGATCCGGGGGGGGGGGAAACACTACGGATACTACTCCGATTAGAACCGTCTTTTCGTTTACAGTACATTTTATGCATTCAATTACGCTGCATAATTTATAAACTACTCGATTACCCATCTACAACAATGGTCTACCTGTAAACAGTATAAACATTTTTAATGATCGTTTACAAAGCGTATGTCACTATATACTGAACTAAAACACTAAAATTAATTAGATACTTGTATTATAATTGTGTGTTGGGTTCATTTGGTTGAGTTTTTTTTTATATTTCCGGTTTTATTTAGATATAAATAGGATATAGTTAATTAAATTAAAAGAAATTAAAGATAACTGCTCAAGGTTTTTATTTAAATAACTTATTCAAACTCGGAAACTCCAGTAAACAAAGTATATAGGTATAAGTACTCGAACGCTGTGTACTTTAATAAACGAACTAATTGAATACTTATTTAGAGAAAAAAACTATTTGTATATTACACCGCTATAAGTGCATGCTGATTTATTGTACACGTGAGTGCGAAATATTATTTTTTTTTAAAAAGGTCAATATACTCCTGTGCGATTAAAGAAGTGTACTGCACAATACATTTGATCGTACACTCCGATTGGACAACTCTAATATGCATTTAATATTTATGAAATTCGTTATGCATAATATACATGTATAATGTATAATATAATATAAATATATTTATATTGCAATAATACGACGGGAAAAATATCGCGAAGTCGTTTTCGTTTTATTGTTTTGTGAATATGTTTTAATCATTGGAATTTCGCGTATGTATTATGAGCAGTATATTAAACAATAGCATCGAATCCGAAAAAAAAAACACAAAATATTCAAATATTAGAGTATTAGAAAAACAAATACTATACTATATACCTATGCCCTATAGTTGTAAACCGTTCCCTACCTCCATTAAAATTCACGGTGAATATGACATGATAAAAAGTAAAACGATTTTATATAAGTATACCTGAAATTATGAAATAATAATGGA